TTTCCGGGAGTACACAGCTGTATGCGTATGGAGTACTCGTACTTTCAATGATTTAAATCAAAGATCAATTACGATTTAGCTTAGGTTTAAAAAAAAATATGCCTTTTATTTATTCAATGCTTCGTGTGCATTTATTCAAGAAATGCTAAAAAAAATGTGTGAGTATGTGTGGCTGTGTGTGTGTGTATGTGTAATTTTTGCTTATTTTGGGGTTAATTTTCTTCTTGTTGGATTTTCTTAGAGCTTAGAAAATGGTTTCGAGGTTTGCCAAAAATTGTATGTGCTTAAGTTAAGTATCTATGTATGTATGTATGTATATTTATATATATATAATATATATATCTATGTATGGTTTTCTTGCATTTAATTTCATTTATATGTATATTTTTGATATTTTTGCTGCTTTTTTTTGGTTTTAATTGTTTTTTTTTTTTTGTATTTGGTGTTTTTTTTTGTTTGGGCACATTTTGCTAATTTGCTTAAGAATCTTAATTGCTGTTAAATTTCATTCTCTCATCATCATTTTGTATTGCTCTTATTTTTGTTTTGTTTTGGGCGGATTTCAAACTGAAAAACGGAGCTGGTTCTCGTTAAGATCATTTCATTGTTGGTGGAAAACTGAGGGGTTTTTTAGCCGACTGTCGGAGAATCGCTGTGTGTTAACTACGTACGGGTTTTCTTCTTCTTCTCATTTTCATTTTCATTATCTTTCAACTATTTTCGTATATATATATATATGTATGTATATACTATATCGGTTTATCAGTTGGTTAACATTATCTGGTTATATCAAGACATGGTGCCCCCCCTTGGGTTGGGTTCTGTTTTTCGGCTTCGGTTTCGTGTCTGCTAAAATAACTCGCATATTATTCGTATTTTTGTTTAAACATAATATTGATATGGTCTGGTTGTTCTGTTTTCCTTTTTTGTTTCTTAGGTTCCACTCCTTTTCCTGGTCGTGAAATTTCAAGTTTGACTATGTTTTTTTTTTTTTCTTTGTCATATGTACAGCTACAGGATGGCTAAACGTTTCAACGAGAGGGGGGAGGATACTTGGCATTGATTAAAAATTGTATAATCGTATCAGTATGTGTGTGGTGTGTGTGTCTATTTTTGTGTATGTGTTTTTGTGTGTGTATATCACCATGGGCTTAAATTCATTCATATTCATATCCATATATATGTAGATGCATGTATGTAACTCTCCTTAGAACTTTCTACAAAAGTTGAGTTAAAAAAAACTGCATTACTCAATACATTACTTAGTACCTTTTCATTTGGAGTATAAAAAGTTGAGTATATTTCTCTCCTGTTCTTTGTTGTTGTGTGTTTAAACTGGAAGGATATTTTTCATAATATCATAATTACTAAGATCGATTCCATAATTATGTTGTATATATTTACAGCTCAAGTTTTGATTTTATCAATTATGTGTGTCTGTGTGTGTGTGTTTCTTTTAATTTTTTTTTGCTTCTTTGCTTGATTGAGTTTAAAATTAATTACGTATGTTTCTCCCTCTCTGTTCTGCCTGCCTAAGGATCTACGGATACCTATGCAAAAAATTTCATCTGCCTACGTGACTATATATACCATATATGTATCTATCTGTATACAATATCTGTGTGTGTTTTTTGCTTCAATATATTTTGCTTTATTTGAAGTTATCTGTTTGCTTTAATTTACTTGGCTAGCACCGCGTATTATGTATGTATATATATGTGACTATATATATATGTTGTATGTATAAAAATGCTATATATATATAAACATATGTATGTATGTAAGTATATACTCGTAGAGCAGGGCTCTCTCATTTCCAGCTCCCCTTAAAGTATGCTACATCTGAGCCAACCTCTGCGTGTACCTGTGTCTGTGTGTGTGTGTGAGTGTGTGTGTGTGTGAGTGTGTGTGTATTTGGGTGGGCTGTGGGCGGGGGGGTCAGGAAGGGATACGAGATTTATAAGAGATTGCGAGTACTTTCGTTCCTCAGCGGCATCCGATTTGCTAAGTGAAATCAAAAGGCCATTTGGATTCGGAGCAAGGATTCGTTGGTTTTTTTTCTTGTGGAAAATTTGTGGGAAATAAAAAAAGGATTCTCGATGGGTTTTTTTTTTCGTTTAATAAAACATTTTTATTTGATAAAGTTTCGTTCATGTTCATGTATTATTGGTATGTTGTTTGCTTTTGTTTTTTGTTTGTTTTTCTTCACTTCGTTCCTTCCAATATATATATATATATCATATCATATATATCATATATATATATATATATACTATAATAATTACAATAATAATAATAATAAAAATACGAAGACAAAAAAATTGTGTATTACGAAATAATTAAAACTAAAAGTTGCGAACAATTTCATCGTGTCGTGTGGGTTATCTTGGGGTGGGGTCTTCTCAGGGGTGTGCCCGGTCCCACCATCATCATTGTATTCCATATATTTTGTATATATATTTAATATATATATATATATTTACTTTCTATATATATGTATCGTTTATCATATCCATATTAGGTGTAATTTATCCATTAGCTAAAGCGTATGAAAATGCAAAGTATTTAACACATTAACTTAAACACAAACAGGAGGAAAGGAAATGTCGATTGGAAAAACTATATATACAAAAAAAATATAAAAATATGTATATATATAAATTAAAGAAGATCTCAACAGATTTGCTGACACACTTGTCTTTTGCATATTTTTTTAAATATTGGCTTAATATTTTTGCTTTACGTTTTGTTTTTGTTTTGTTTTATTCTTGAATAAATTTTTTTTGAAGACGCAAATTGTATTTTTTTTTAGGTATTTGAAATGTGTTTGGTATATGTTGGTAATTTTTTTTCGTTTCCTTCTTCACCTCTCGTCTTCACCCTTTTCATTTACTTTTCATATATATGTATGTAATAATAATAATAATAATAATAACGCGGCAAATTTCGGGCCTATGCAAAAATGTTTCTTTTCGTGTAGCTTTAATTTAGTTAGTTGTTGCTTTTATTTTGTATATGTTCTTTTTGGTTTTGAGAAATTGATTTTTACGCTTAAATATTTAGCCTAGGAAAAAAAAGGTTGCATTAAATATTCCTTAAAAATTGGTTTGGTTTTTTTTTTCTTGTTGTTCTTGTTCGTTTTTAGGAAAACAGATTCATATATTTTTTTGTGGTTTTTTCTTGCTTTTGGTTTTTATTTTTGAAATTTGTTTAATTTTACGATTAATCTGTAAACTTAGGTGCTAGGCAAAAAAAAAATTGGCTCTCTTAGATTAGGGTTTTTATGTTGTTTGTTGTTGTTTTTTTTTTTGAATTTTCTTATTTTTCTTTTTTATATAATTTCTTTAGTACGATATGCGGTTTGTGTTTTAAAGTTTTTTTTTGTATGTGTGTGTGTGTGTATTTTGTTTACGCTTCCATCTCGAAATATTTGAGTGTCACAGAAGAAATTGTTGGTATTTATGCTAGAGTTTAATGCGAATTTAAATTATCGTTAGGCTACGTTGATAAACTCCTCGATTCTCCCTCTACGCATATGATTTTTCATATATTCATATATGTCTATATATATGTGTATATGTATGTATATGTATGTTTTTATGCATTAATTATTTATAGAGTAAGTAGATTATAAATAATAATTTAGTGCATTTTGCGGTTTTACTTTTGCTATAATTATGAATTATTCAATTTTTTTTATCATTGTGTGTGTGTGTGTATGTGTGTGGGGGGTGTGTGTGTGTTTGTGTTTGTGTGATTTTTATGTAAATTCAAAATTTACAAAATTTATTGTTATATATTTTACGTTTCGTTTTGCTCTCGCATCGCATCGCGTCGCTGCTCTTCTTTACTATATCTTTCCTCCGTTTCTCTTACCAGCTTCTCAATGATCTTTGATTCAACAAATATATTTATATATATATATCTATATATAAAAAAAAAGAAAAAAAAATGTGGAAAGGGGCAAACATTTTCCTCGCAGCATTTTCCTTGCTTTCAACTATCTTTTACTTTGGGTTTTCGTTTCTTAATTGCTTTTGCTTCTGCTTCTGTTTAATCGCTTCTCGTCTCTCCATTCGTTTTGTGTGTGTGTGTGTGTGTGTGTGTGGTGTGTGGTGTGTATGTGTTTTTGCTTGAGATCAAAAGATAGTTTAACAAGTCCGGGACTAAGGGGGTATCAGGAGGATCTGGTGGAGTACGAAGGAAGAACGAAATAACGAAAGTAAGATCATGCCTCGCGAGGAGTCTATGTACAGAACGGCATATCCGGTTCGCTTTTAGTCTGTATGTACACTCAACCATTGAATAATGTGCGTAGCCCTAGTTCCGAAATCGATATTATCATCATCATCATTATTCATAGTTTATAATTCATTATAATTAATTAATTAATCATAATCGTGGTAATAATAGATCGACAAACAAAAAAAATATATATATATATATATGTGTATATAGTTATCCATCCTACCGCCTTCGCTTACAGTCTTCAAGTAGAAACAAATCAAAAAAAATCTTTGCAAGATCTCTTTCGCTATCATTGGATCTTGGCTTTTGGTTAAAGTTCTTGGGCAAGTCAGTGGGGGGGGGCCTTTTTTTTTTTTTTTTGGGGGTATAGATAGGGGATATAGGGTGGTGGAGGATGGGGGTGCTTTTAATACTTTTGCGCTCCTCGCATAGCGTCTCTAAACTTTTAGCTACAATTATTACAACTCCGGGGCAACCAGACCTAAGGCTATCCTATCCTAAGTCCCATAGGTATTGTATTGTATTGTATTATATTGTACGTAATATGATTTAAAAAAAAAAACAAAAAAAAATATATATGTATATATAGAGTTCGCTACGTTCTAGGTGCTATGTATGTATCGATATATCTAGCTCGCTCGAGGCGAGTCCTGGGTCTAGGTCTACGTCTAGGTCTAAACATCCAAACTTAATCACAAGTAAACGGTCATCTCCATCGCCAACTGCATCTGCCTCCGCCTCTGCATCTGCCTCTGCCTCTGCCTCTCCATCGTTGATCATTGCACTGTCCTAGTAGTTCCACGCGGCTGCTGGCGCGACACTGGCCACCGCCTGGGCAGCTGCCACAGCCCCGCTGCCAGCAGCTCCTCCTGTGGCGGCGACACAGGCCGCTGACGATTCCTCGGCGTCAACCTGGCCGGGGGCGCCGTTGCTGCTCAGGCGGCTGACGCGCACCAGACGCAGCTTCTCCTCGTTGATCACCTTCAGCTTCTTCTCCGCCTCGCAGTCGAGGCCACCATCCAGCTGCTGCTGCAGCTGCTGCTGCAGCTGCTGGTGCTGCTGGTCCTCCTCCTCATCGTCGTCCTCCTCCTGCTTGATGCGCACCTCGGGCTCCATGAACCGCTGGTCGATCTCCAGCTGGGCGTGCTCGTGCTCCGAGTCGCCGCCGCCAGCCTCCACGGACTTGCCATCAGCCTCGTCCCGACCGTAGTCGGAGGAGCCCTGCTGCATCACACAGACGCCGTTGATGATGCGCTCGCTCTCGCTCCCGGCGCCGGACTGTGCCGCTACAGCGGCTGCAGCTGCTGCCGCTGCGACGGCTGCCGCTGCCAGTCCCGCATTGGGGGTGGTGGTGCCAGCGGGGTTCACCCACTGGGGGGCTGCCGGCTTGCGGCGGGAGCTGCGCACCGCGTTGCTCATGTAGGCGGCAGCCGCCGAGGCGAGGGCGGACTTCTGCAGGACCTTCTCGTACTCGGAGACGGCCTTGTCCTCCGCCTCCTGGCCCTCCAGCGACTCGTTGTCGCTCATGTTGTGGCCACTGGCGTCCATCTCCAGGTCGTCCTGGTAGTCGTCGCTGCGCTCGCGCTTCAGCGTCGGCATGGACAGATCCAGGCCGCTCATCTGCTCCTTGAACGCCTGGTTGAGGGCCTGCAGCTGCAGCTCATCACCAACGCCGACACCGGCCGCACCAACAGCCGCCGCGGCGGCGGCTGCCCCTGCAGCAGCAGCGGCGCCCGGTATTCCCGCCAGACTGCGGCCGAGGAGAGCGGCCGCCGCGAAGTACGGTGGGTAGGGTATGGGCGCACCGCCCAGGCCCATGCGCTCCTTGTGCAGCTCGACGAGCCGCTGCTGGAGGAGGATGCGGAACTGGACGGGATCGAAGGGCGTCGCATTGGTGTTCTCCCGACTCGGTATGGGGTTGTCCTGGCCGGGCTGGCCGTGTGGCACCTGCTGCTTGAGCCGCATGCGGTGGTTGTGGAACCAGTTGGTGATCGTCCGTGTGGCCAGGCTGAGCTCGTTGGCCAGGAACTCGATGGTGCCCACATTGGGGTACGGGTCGAGGGCGAACGCCAGCCGCAGCGCCTCCTTCTGCTCCTCGGAGAAGAGGACGCGCTGCTTCTTGCTGGGCGGCGCACCGCCCACGGAGCCCACAGAGCCGGGTCCGGGGCTGCTGGTGTAGAAGTCGTTGGTGTCGTTGCTGGAGGTGTCGCTGCTGTTGTCCTGCTGATTGGGGCCGGTGCTGCGGCGCCGCTTGCTCGCCTCCCGCCGCTCGTTCTTGAGCAGCTGCAGCCGCTCCACATTGTTGGCGTCGCTCAGCCACAGCTGCATCCGGATGAACGGCTCCCGGCCCTTGATCGAGAGCATGTGCCAGGGCTTCGGTTTGCTGAGCAGCTCCGACACGGAGCCCTGCGACAGGCCCAGCACCGCCTCGCCGAAGATCTTCTGCCCGATGTTGTTCGCCAGCAGCGCCTCCTTGATCTTGGTGGTGATGTCGTGCGTGTCCAGGTCCTGGGTGAGGGCGGCCATCTCGTAGACGGTGGGCGACATGTGCTGGTGCAGGCTGCGCATCGCATTGGGCGCATGTGCGCCCCCATGCACCGGCATCAGCATCGGCTTCTTCTCGCCAGCCGGGCCCGACGGTGGCCCAACGGGTCCGCCGGCATTGCCCTGGCCGCCGGCATTGGAGCCACCGCCCACGGAGGTGACAGCACCGCCGCCCGAGGCGGGCAGACTGATGGCATGCTGGGGCGGCAGGCCGGGCGAGGTGAGCAGCATGTTCTGGTGGTGCAGGGCGGCGGCTGCCTGGGCGGCTGCAGCGGCCTGCTGGTGCTGCTGATGCTGCTGGTGCTGCTGGTGCGGATGTGCGTGGGGATGGGGGTGCTGGTGGGGATGCTGGTGCTGGCTCTGCTGCTGGGCGGCAACGGCAGCGGCCGCGGCGGCCGCCTGCTGCTGCTGCTGCTGCATGGCCGCGGACATGGCCACGGCCTGCATCTGCTGCATGATGTGCTGCGCCTGGGCGGGCTCCTGCAGCTTCAGCTCGTTCATCATCTTCTGCATGGGCAGGGCGGCGGCCTGCATCTTGCTGGCCAGCCCCTGTGGCATCTGGGGGCTGCCGGAGTAGCTGCCGGTGCGCATCAGCTTCTCGGGCGCGATCTTGTACTGGCTGGCGACCAGCTTGTGCACGGCATTGTCGTCCTCGAGGAACATCTTCATGCGGATGAAGGGCTCGCGGCCCTTCTGGGTGAGCATGTGCCAGGGCTTGGGGCGGGCCAGCAGGTCGGAGACGGAGCCCTGCGACAGGCCCAGCACCGACTCACCGAAGAGGCGCTGCGAGATGCTATACTGGGAGAGAGCCTCCTTCACGCGGCGCACAATGTCCTCCGTGTTCAGGTTGTTGAACATATCGAACTGCTGCTGGGTGATGGGCGGCAGCACCGCCTTGGTGGGCCGCTGCGGTGTGCTGTGGTGCGGCGTCACCGGCGGCTGGGTGATCAGCGAATTGGTGATGGACGCCATCCGCTGCAGTGGGCTGGCGGTGGCCGCAAACTCCTCCCCTTGGTTGCTCAGTGCCGGCGGCAGGATCGAGTTGCTCAACGGACTGGGGGCGGCCGAGTTGCTGGCATGGCTGCCGGCTCCACCGGATCCTGCTCCGGCCCCAACGCCGTCTCTGGCGCTGGCGAGGCTGTTGGCCGAGCCGGGCACGCTGCCGGCACTGCCCGAGGGCGGGGCTGGCGGTGCGGGCGGGGCCGGGGTGTCGGACTTGCGGCCGTGCAGCGACTGTGGATAGTCGCGTGGATCGTCGCGGTCACCGTCCTTGGAGCTGCTGCTGCTGTGCTCCAGCGAGCCGCGCTGTCCGTTCAGCTTGATGTCCTTGACGGCGGCCAGCGAGAGGTCCTGGGCGCCATTGAGCACCTGCTGCTGCAGGGCCATCAGGCTGGAGAAGTTGGGGAAGCCGGACACCGCCTGGGCTTGGGCCTGGGCCTGGGCCGCCTGCTGCTGCTGGTGCTGCTGCTGCAGCTTGGCGATCTCCCGCTCGAAGGCGTGGCGCATGTTCTCGTCGGGAACTGGGAATGCATTGGCCGCACCGGGCATGCCGGCGGCTCCTCCAAAGAACGGCGACAACAGGAAGCTGTTTTTGCGGAGAAGAGAAGAGATGACGCAGGTCAGAGATTGTTCCCTTGTTCCCTTGGTCCCTTGTTCCCCGCAGAGACAACCCAGAGTGGGTTCCTCTGGCTGTTACTCACCTGGGGAAGGCTGCCTCGCGTGGTGTGCGGGCTATCAGCTCCTGGTAGAGTCGCGCCATCTTGTCCTGGGCGAGATCTTCGTGGCGGAGTCGCTGCTGCTGTTCGCGCTCCCGTTCGCGCTGCTCCCGCTGCTGCTGGTGCTGTTGGTGCTGCTGCTGGGCGGCGGCCACCACAGCGTCCCGCTGCTCGGAGGCCATGTGCTGCTGCTGCTGCTCCCGGTGCTGATGCTGCTTCAGCTGCTGTTCCACCTTGAAGAACGGCGATGTGCAGCTCTGTGGCGGCGACTTGCTGTCCTCGTTGCTGTGCGTATCCTCGCCAGCGTGTCGCCGCTGCTGGTCCTGCTGGTCCCGCTGCTGCTGGGCGGCTGTGCTCTTCATCAGCGAGGAGGCCTCGCTCAGGATGTGGGCAATGCGGTCCTCTGACATGGAGTCATCGCCACCGCCGCCGCCGCCAGCGCCGCGTCCCGCATACTGAGGCAGTCCCGAATCTGCAGAGAGAGATGGAGAGATAGAGAGGATTAGAGAGGGCGATCGTAAAGGCTGCTGGGGGATATACATCCCATTAAAGGTTGTAAAGTTTATGTGGGCTCCGCTTGGGCTTTGGGCTTTTCGGGCTTTTGGGGGGCTCTCAGCTCATTTATTAAGGTTCGCTCTATTGGCTGTGACAGGACATGAACATGGACTGAGACTCAGACTCAGAGCCAGACCCAAGCACAGGCCCAGAGCCTCCCCACTCCACTGCGACTGCGACTGCGAGTCCAAACCGAAAACCAATTAAGCCATAAAGCGTTCAAAAAGCCAAAGCGAATTTGTGGCCATAAAGCGGCGCTGCAGTTGAAAGGGCCCCAACGTGCCCCATCAAGTGTCCCACCACTGAGAGAAAATCCATGGCCCATGGACATGCACACACTGACAGAAATTTGCAAGCGGTTTGTCGCTGCCACAAGGCAGAGAGACTTGGGGTGTGGGTGCTCAATTATATTCTCAGGCAACACAAAACGCCAAACGATGAATGGTCAAAAAAAAAAACAAATATTTGTGCCCCTTACCAGCCCCCTTCCCTGCCATTCCCCCCTACCACCACTGAAATAGTTGTTGATGCAGGAGAGCATGCGCTAATTTGGCACGCGCCTGGCCCCCCGTTCTCCGTCTCCCGTCCCCGCACTGTGGGGGTGGGGAGGCTGCTCATCGAAGCGGGAGTTTGGTCGCAGCGACCATCAGGAGTTGAATAAACGAAATGAATAAATGAATGAATTCAATTGCAATTGAGAGCAAAGGATGCAAAAAATTACAAACAAAAAAAAACACACACACAAAAAAAAACAAGCAAAAAAAAAAAAAAATTATTTCATATGCGGCACGAAAACTGAAAAATTGTTTTTGCAGGAAATTCAATTGAAATGGAGAAGCGTTTTGCTTTTTGGCTTTTTACATTTTTCACGTGACACAGAGACAGAGGGAGCGAGCGGGAGAGCTGGAGTGGCAGTGGGACTGGGAGTGGGAGAGAGTGAGAAGTACAGAGAATCGAGTGGTAAATTGCAAAATAATCGCACAAGTGGTTCGCCCCGCAAAACAAGGGACCATAGAATTTCCTGTGTGATGTCCTGCGGCATGTTTTGTGGCTGCCACACAGCACAAACATCAATCAGCCGCACACGTTCAACGTGCAGTGGGGGCGGGGGGGCAAGGGGCTGGGCGAAATGGAGAGCTGTGGACTGCGAAATGAAATAACTGAAAATCGCTTTACAATTGCCAAGCATAATCGATGCCCAAAGGAGCAAACACTTGAATGCCCAAATAAAACTGCAAGAATCGCTCCAAAAAGCGGAAACGGAAATCAACACATGAATGACAAATGTACCACCCCCCCTGCCACCCCACCTGCCACCACTCAAACAAACAAAAAAGTAAAACCACAGCCCCTCTGGACAGAGCCATTGAAGCGAGAGATTCAAAGTGAGGGAGAGAGTGGGAGCGGTAGCCCTAGCCACAGGACCACACACACACACACACACACACCCAGAGATAGATGGATAAAGGCGATAAAATGGCCAACTACAATAGATCGGAGCACTCTTAACGTGCTCCAGTCCAGTCCAGTTCTGTTCTGTTCCCTACCCATCATCATCGAGATTCGTTGCCATGTTCTCTACTTCTGCTTTTTTTTTTTGGTCGAATAAAAATTGGAAAAATGATTTTTGTGTGAATTTTTTCCTTATGTGACTCCTTGTCGTCGCTTCATTTGGGGATTACAAAGTGTTTTTGTGTTATAAAGTCGAAGATGACATTGATGACACCTGGAATGACCCAGACCATGGGGCTGCTGCGTAGTAGATCCGGGGCCAGAGCCCACAGATTGGAACAGGATATAAAAGAATAGAGTGAAATGGAAATGGATGTGGATGTGAATGTGGGTATGGACAGACACAGACACAGACAGCTTAAGCGGTCTTAGTGGAAGATTGTGGTGATGGGACATCCGTTAGAGAGGAATTGCTTGCAGTTCATAGATTAAAGTTCGCTCTTGCTCTCTCACTTTTGAGTTTAGTTTTGGATAGCCTAAGCCCCCTCCTCCTGCCCCCAAAGGACAATTGTTTGTGCCTTTTCTTTGTGCATACAGCATTGATTGTTGCTGCTCCGCTGTAGCTGTATCTTTAAGTTTTATTCGGTGCCTCTGCACTTTAATCCATAATTTAAGCGTCTCGTGTGGCGTATTTTGGCGCAGACAAAAGCTCTGGGCGGGCGCCCAACCTTCATAACGGATTCGGATTGCCCGCAGTTTTTTTTTTTTTGGCCCAACTTTCGCTACCTCTGCGCGGCCATCCTTTATGGCCATCATTCAAATTTTTACTCTACAGATACAGCTACATATATATATATATACATATATAAATATATATAGATATATGTAGATATGGATGGCCACTTTTTTGTCTGCAATTTACATTCTGTTTTTTTTTCTGCTTTGTTCCCCAATCCTCAATGTATTTTTTTTTTTTTTTGTAATTTATTAGAGAGGAACATGTTGACCAAATTGTCATTCAAAGGGATTTCGGATTTGTGCCGGACCCCAGATATGAGCTATCATATTTGTCTACCTCCCAATGAGAATGAGAATATGTATCCGTGCATGGAAATATATATACGAAATACGAATACGATTGTACATATTATATGGGGGAGAGAGAAGATATATTTGTATTTGTATATTTTTCTATATGACAATCTATCCTAACCCATCTCGGTCTTGCGGCCCCCTCGCTCGCTCCAACAATTTGCCTGATGAATATTTGCCTTTTATAACAAATCAGAGAGGAGGCAAGAAGCCCAGACATATGAGTGGATGGATGCTTCAGCTACAGGAGATACGATACTCCTATCCAGTTCTGTCTCATTCCCCTCCTCTGTCGTCTTTGGCTTTCCCGTGTGTGTGTGTGTGTGTGTAGGGGGTGGGGGTTGCCATGTGGGGCTGATTCGTTTGTTTTTTATTCTAATACAATAAATATTTGCCAGCACACAAATATGTAATCATACTTCAACATGTCGCGTCGCACCGAAAGGGTTCGTTTCTACCCATCCGTTCTACTACCCCCCCCAAACACCCAACCCCCAGCCCCCCCAGGAACAGTCAGTTAGTGTGGGGAATGGGTGGAATTGAACGGCACATTGAAATTGGCACACGCACGCAATTTGCATTAATTGCAAGAAAAATTTTCTAATTAAAATGCCAGTCATTTGTATTTCTTTTCTCCCTCCTCCCACCACCCCATCGCATGCGAGTGAGAACCCCATGCTCACACTTGCTCCTTTCCTTTCTCGTTGCTGTTGTCAGTTATCCATTTGTTGTTGCTTGGTATTAGCAAAAGTGTCAATTAAAAAAAAAAAACACAGAGACACAGAGAGAAAACATCAAGAAAAGGAAAGGGGGCTGGGAGAAGCAGCTTGATGAGTGGGAAGCAAAAGGATGAGGAGTAGGTGTAGCAGTAGGAGTAGCAGTAGCTGGAGGACCAGGAGCTGAATGAATTGGTAGCTTCTTTTCATTCTGGATGAGCAGAGGGCAAACGTAGCATGGAAAATTGAAGAGCTTCGACAGGGTTGGGATTGGGGTTGGGGGTTGGGACTGCACTGCACTGCAGAGTCTCTCACCTGTTATCAAAAAACGTTTCACCTTCAAATTCCCCCGTCACTCACTCTCTATCTCTATCTCTCCCTAGCTCTGTCTCTCACTGTTTGGCTCTGTCGCACTCACACATTGTTTGTCTTGCAATTAAGCAGAAAATATGAGAAAAGGCTGTGGAGTGATGGCAGGAGAGAGGGAGGAAAGAAGAAGTCAGAGCCGATGACAGGAGAGAGTAGAAGGCAGCAGAAAGAAAGGACAGAAGAAGGAGCGCTTAAGCGAGAGCGAGAGAGAGAATGAGGCAACAGCTGTGTGAGTGAGTGTGTGCAGGTGGTGGAATGAGCGGAATGGCTGGAACGCGTGGTTGGAATGCCGGGAATGGTATGGGGTACATTTTGCCCCGTGCAGCAGCAGCAGCAGAAGTAACTTTGTCTTGCATTTTAATTTGTTTTCGTCATGATTTCGCTTTGTTGTTCCATCTCCAACCCTTCCTCACTCCCTATCTCTTTCCCCCTCTCTCTTTCACTCCTTCTCTCCATCTTTGGCTCTTGTCAAAGTTCATTACAAAGTAATTAGCTGCCTTATATGCAAAATAAGAAATACAAAAATCAAGAAGCAAAAAAGAATTAAAAGAACTGGCAACACGAACACGACATGTGCAACATTAATTTGCGGCAGCAAAGGCCGGCAGTAGCAACCCAAAAGTTTCCCCACTTACCTCCCCCTATATGCGGGGGGCAATGAGGCGTGTCTGGTGCCTCTCTAGTAGGTATAAATTTTTTTTTATTCTGCTTTATAGTATTATTTTGTGCCTGCTGCTTCCGCGCACACCTCTGGCCAACCCCATCAAATTAGCACTCCTTGATCGGAGGCCATTACTCTTCGATGCCCCTACAGTTCTCGCCCCAACCCAACCCAACCCACCCCACCCCAGCGCACCTCATTCGCGTACCCCTGTGATATGCCTGATTGCCCCATTTCGTTGATCACAAAAGATATCAAAGAAATGAAAAAATAAAATAAATTTCACAAAAATTTTGTTCCCCATTTTCTGTTTTTGTGTTCATTCTGTGAAATACCCCTTGAAGGAGATGGGGCATGATGATTTGTTTTATTTGGTTATAAAAGACTTGTCGGAATTTCTACAATTTGTGGTTGTATCCTACATAATCCAGGGTATCCAATGATTCGCGTTCTAAAGAATTCTAGTTCTTCATTCTAGTATTTTGTACGTTTTTGGTAGGTGATCGCCAGATTTATGAGAATTGTTGAGCGAGCTTTATGCTAATTTATGCGTATTGTTTTGCCTGCCCACGCAGGCCATCTGCATCCACATTCACATCCACTCCCGCTGACAGTGCTGCTCTCCTGCCTATCTGTTCTGTCTGTGTGTCTGTCTGTCTGTTACCGCAATGAGTCGCCACACTTATGCGATGCCACTCAATGAACAATTTTAATGGCCGCATCGTGGCGTGTGAGTGTGTTTGTGTATAAATAAAATCAAATAAAATAAAATACAATAAAGATGAGGCCGAAAAATCGTGTAAAAGCAAAGGAATTGATACGCCCCGTTGGTCACTTAGTCAGACCAGATCGCATGCCTATGTCTCCTCTCTATCGAAGCAGCAGCAGCAGCAGCAGTAGCAGTAGCACGTGAGAGTATTGGTAAGATATACACACACGCACGTACACATACACATACACATATACTCATGCATGGCGCGCTTTATGGCTTGTGACAAATAATTTGTGAAGCGGCCGCAAATAAATGTGTGGCAGGCAAGCGGCTGGCAGGCAGGCAGGCTGGCAGTCGGACCGGCATCTTCTGGCGTTTGGAATGCTTTTGTTTTGTCTCTCACTTTGCCCGTGCCCCTTGCTCCTGCCCCTGCTGCTTCTACATGGCTTCCTCCCCTGCGCTTCATGCGCTGCTTTCTTGCGGCTCTATTTTTGGCCACTCGCACTCTCCGCCGCTTTGGCCTGCGTTGGCCTGGCTAAAACAAATAGACGACAACGGCGATGTCTGCTCAGAAATTATGTGTTAATATGCTAGTATTATTAGCTGCTATAATGGCTGGCTGGCCCCCCTCGGCCCGCCCTCCGCCACAGCACTCCATGGCACCAGCACCTCCCCCCCGCCCCCACAACTCTTTCAGCATTTCTCTTTTGTCATTACGTATACGCAGAGTAATTTTTCCCTCTTCCCTTTTTGTTTTTGTTTTTTATAGTTTTTTGTGTGTTGTTTGGCTTTGAGCGTTGGCCAGGCTAAATGAGTTTCAATTGAGCACTTAACCCGGTGCTACCTCAACAGTCCAACAGTCCTACCCTCAGCCGCTCTATTCCGAAAAAAAATCTCCCATCCACTGCCACACCCAAATCCTCTGACATCGTATTTATTCGGAAAAAGTCCTGTCAACTGGTTTTTTGTGCACTCTGACTAGAACTTTGCACTGAAGTGCAGGCACAGTGGAATGAGTTGTGTATTAAGCAATCGAAATGATATCGATAAGAGCGATTACTGTGTGGATAAGTAAGCCATCGACAAGGCAAGGGGATGATTAATGATAAGTATTCTCCTTACCATTCTATCGATATGTCTCAGATATCAGTGCAGTGCACTAGCCCCAACCCCTGCACCGCTCACCACTTCCATGGCTGTCAACCCCCCCCCCCCTCCCGAAAGTTGTACAGTTTAATATGCAACAATTGTCGTTAAATGTTACAAAAACATGAAGAACCTAGGGAAAATAAAGGAAAAGCAAACCGAAAACGCAAAAACTTTTGCGTCAACCCATAGCCGGGCGGGCGGGCGGTGCTTCCCACTCCTTCATGGCCCTACACACACACACACACACACACAGAACCCTAGACGTTATAACCATTCAACCCCTGCCGCCACACAATCCTGCCACTGCCACTGCCACTGCCCCATCGCTTGGCAGTGCCTCTCGCCCCACCCTCGACCGACCACAAAGACGACTTCAAACGCTCGGCACGTCAACGTTTTGCATGCCTCGTTGAAGGCAGCGACTGAGGCAGTGGCAGCAACAGAGGTGGCTGTTGCAACTTGTTGTTGTTTTTGTTGCTGCTGGTACGTTATTTATATATATATAAATATATATATGCAATAGGGAATTTATGTACATAAATATACATATATATATAGGAATTTTATTTTATGATTTTTTATTTCTGTTGTATTTTGTTTCAAGCCTTTCACAGACCAATTGTCACGGCAGTCGTCTGCCACTCTCCTCCCTCTGCCGTATAGCCCACTAGCCCACCCACTACTCCACCATTCCACGCCTCCCCCATCCAACCGCCCACGTTTTGCCGTTTCGCTCATAACGCGCTTTAAACAATTACAATTCAAAATTCATTGACGCGGATCCTGGGTTAACTTTTGCCACAATGACTTCAAAGTATTGTTAACCAACAGAGTTGACAGAAGGTAGTAGTGGCACAACGATAAAACACCCCCCACGTGCAGGTGGCGGGCGGCGGGTGGCGGGTGGCAGGTGGGTCTGCTCCTGCCCCTAGCAGTAGGCAAGGCTAAATGGTGTCTTCTGTCCCCGGTTTTTGTGTGCGGTAGGTGGGTGGAATAATCCAAAGAACAGATCTGTTAATAGCTAAAACCCCCATATTTGCTTATAATTAGCATGGGACTGGAAAGGCAAAAAAAAAAGGGGGGAAAAAAAAATAACGAGAAAAAAGTGGATTTACCCCACGCCACACCCTCCATAAACAGAGTTACAGTTTACAGTTACAGTTACCGTTACAGTTATAGGCTACAGTTAGTTTAGCTTCCATGAGTAATCGTCATAAATTAATTGTCAACATTTGCCTGCACTTAGACCCCCCCCCCACCCTCCAACCCACACAAACACACATACACACACGCATATCCCTGGCCACCAGGTGGATGGGTTGGAACGAATGGAATGGGTGGGTTGCAGCAATGTGTGAATACGAACGGAATGAATGGAATGGGTATTTGAACGGATGGCATGCGTGCCCTGCTGGCACTTTAAAAATACTTTTGCATTGACATACTCGTTTGTATTTGTGTGGGGGCTTCGTTTGGGTTTGGGGGGTTCCATAAAATTGATGACTAATCAATATGCGGAAACGGCGGAATAGCCAGCAACCAAGGCAACAGACAACACGAGTAAACGGCTGACTGAATGATCGTACCATTATGGAAACGGAGCTGGGCAAAAGGGGAACAATGGAAAAACAAACAAAAAACGATACATAAACGAAATGAAACGAGATGAAATGAAATGAAATGGAATGCAAAAACGAAACAAAATTCCTGTTCATTTTCACGCCTAATGTGCGAATTTGGTAAAATTTATGGCGACAGGCAAATGGCCGCTCGAAATGCACTGAAATAATGTCTCTTTTCTTGTCTGCAGAGTGTCGTCCGTCTCTACTGCCTGCCAGCCAGCCTGCTTGCCTCCCTGCCTGGCCCAACCGGTGGCACTGGCACCGCCCACCCCCTTTCGCCACACTGCACCACTCTGCGCGTCGTCAAGTTTGTCGCTGTGACTATGACTGTGACTGTGTGACTGTGTGGCGTGTGTGGCTGTGTCTGTGGCAGTGCTGTGCTGTTGGCACGTTGATTATACGCAAAAATCAAAAATAATTAAAATTTCACAATTTAATGTTTTGGCCGCAGGCCAAATGAAATGAAAAACGCCATAAGCCACAAACGGAGAGAGTGAGAGAGAGAGAGAGAGAGGAGCGAGTAAGAAATAGAGACAGGGCGAGAACGCGCTAAAGAGAATGAGAGAAAGAGAGTAAAATATTTTGAAGCTGAAGTTAAAGCGATTCATGCGAATGGAACAACACATTTGGGATTGGAACAATCTTTGGAGAACTAGTTCCAATGATCGCGGCACATGGAATGAATTGGAATGGATTGGAATGGATATGAGATAACCTTTAAATAAACCTTCAAAAACCCTACCCTTCCTACCCCCGCCCCGAGGCCGCCACTGTGGCGGCTGTCAAACTTCTTAAGCCCCTGTCTTAAACCTGCAACTGCAGCCCGTTTTTGCTGGATAAACATGGTAGGATATAGCTAATCCACTCACCTTTCTTGGGTATCAGCGACTTGAGCAGCATGACGGCGTTATCGTCACAGGCCCAGGCATGCATCTTGCGGTAGCTGTCGCGTCCCTTCTCCGTCAGCTTGTCCCAGGGCTTTGGTTTGCTCAGCAGCTCAGAGACGGTACCCTGCGACAGGCCGAGGATGTATTTGGCGAACAGCCGCTGTCCGATATTGTGCACGGAGAGCAGCTCCCGTACGCGCCGCGAGATGTGCAGCGTGTCCAGGGCCTGGTTGGCATACTTGTCCATGTTGTAGCGCAGCATCTCCTGCAGCTTGGCCTCCATGGGATCGCCCTTGGGTATCAGCGACTCTCCCAGTCGGCCGGCCATCGAGGCGCCGGGCGGCAGATTCATCTCCGCGTCCGCGAACCTATAGTGTCCGCGCCCATCCTGATTGGCGGCCGCCGCGGCAGCAAACTGGAAGGCCGGCAGACTGGGCAGGAAGCCCGGTCCTAAGGCCGCCGCATGCTGGGCGTGGGCGGCCATGGCCGCTGCTGCCGCCGCTGCATTAGCATTGGGCGTCAAGCCGTTGTTGTTGTCCTCGGCCACGGCACCGGCTGCCACCGCAGCGGCATTGGCGGCAGCGGCTGCCTGCAGCAGGGACTTGCTGCCGTTGAGGGTGCTGGCCAGGCTGGCCGCCAGTTGGGCGGTGCTGCTGGGTGTGCTATTGGCGCTGGAGGAGTTGGAGTCGGCGTGGTGCAGGTGGTGGGCTGCTGCCGGATGCAGCAGCTGGCCGTGCGGATGGCCGTGGGGCAGGCCGTGCGGATTGTGGCCCACCAGGTGGTGGCCATGCCCCAGCGAGTGATGGTGGTTGAGGGCGCCGTCGGTGGTGCTGCCTGGACCCGAATTGCAGCTGCTGCTGTTGCTGCTGCTGTTGGTGACGCTGCTGTGTTGTTGCGACTGTTGCTGGAGGTGGTGGTGCTGCTGCTGCTGCTGGTGGTGCTGATGCTGGTGATGCGACTGTTGCTGCTGCTGCTGGTGGTGGTGGTGCGGATGGGATCCGGCATCTAGGCGAGAGGAGGAGGAGGAGTGATTGGCATGTGAGAAAGTGGAGTTAACCAATTGACTGAGCAACGCTGTGGACGAGGGTCCGTGCTGCTGTTGCTGGTAGTGTTGTTGTTGTTGTTGCAAGGTTGGCGGTGGCGGCGGCGGTGGCGGCAGCAGCTGTGGCTGCTGCCCCGCATTAACATTTTGATAAATTGTTGGCGTTTTGCTCCCTGGCTGTGGCTGTGCCTGTGGCGGCATGTTGGCAACTGTTGTGGCAGGCTTGGGCGGCGGTGGATTGGGGCTCTCGAAGCCGCGTCGCCAGTAGCTGTTGACCAGCTGCTCTTCGAGTGTGGCGGGCGGCTGCAAGATTGCCTCATCCTCATCATCTTCATCCTCATTTTCGTTTTCGTTCTCATTCTCATTGTCGTCTTCGAGCTCTTGCTTTGGACGCGCTATGGCCGCCTGCTCATCGTTTGCCTCAGTTTCAGTTTCTGTTTCAGTTGCAGCTTCCGTTTCCGTTTCGGTTTCATGCGTTTCACTTTCGTTTTGGTTTTCGTTTTGGTTTTGGGATGTGGCGGCACCTGCTCCTGCTCCTGGGGCAGGTGCTGCGTGTTGCTCCTGTCGAGGAGGCGGCGGCGGCGAAGGATGTGGCCTCGTCTGGTGGCGGCGGCATCGCTGCGGGAAACAACAGACAAATTGTGCTATTTGTTGCTGCTGTTTTGTGTTTTTTTTTGGTGGCAATATCATAATGAGGGGGTTTTATTTATTTTTATTTTTTCATATTATCAACAACATCCATGGAACAAAACGCCAAAAATTAATCCAAATTTGTATATTCTTATTTCTTTGCTTTTTTCTTTTCTTTTCTATTGTTTTCTTATTATTTTTTGATTTGATTTTCAATTCGGTTTCTTATTTTTGTTCATCACTTTTCAAGCATCGTTCTTTTATCGCCAATTGGTGCAACAAAATAACAAAGAATCGTGTGTGTATATATGGATTATATAGATATATATATATATATGTAGGTAGTTTATATTATATATATTTAAATAGAGAGCGAGAGAGACAGACAGAGTGTGAGACAAAGAGAGAGAGAGACAGTGACAGAGAGAGAGAGTGAGAAGAATGTGTTGTCTGTTTGTTTGATTTTTGCCTTTTTCGTTTTTTTGATTTCTTTCTTTCTTTCGTTTTTGTGGTCGGATCTATCGATAAGCATGCACAACGATAACGATAACAACAACAACGTTAACAACAACAACAACAACAACAATAAGAAGAAGAGCCACATCGAACAACACATCAATCGCTCGTTGCAAGTAAAAATATTATTTTACTTGTGTGTTGAAAGGCAAAGAAAATAAATTGAAATATTTACAAAAAAAAAAAAAAAAGAAAAAAAAAATATACAGAAAACTGCAACTCCGACTGTGTTTGCCCCCAATGGGCCATAAATGTTGGCGCCAGACTACCCTCCCGATCCCCGCTGCCTCTACCCCCTGCCCTCTACCACCTCTTCTGGCGGCTGTTCTTCCTCCTCCTCCTGCTGGGGCCTGCGATAACGCTGCCTCAAACAAACCATAAAAGAACGACCAACAGTCGGATCAAAATCAAAGCTCGACTGGGAGGTCCCCATTGATAAGAAGGGCCATTGATCGACAGGCAGACAGAGCGAGAGAGAGGGCGAGAGAGGGCGAGAGAGCAAGAGAGAGAGAGAGAGACAGAGAGGAGTGTGGCAGACAGGCGCTGGAGGCAAACAGCAGCCGTTGCACCGGAAGTACAGTCCCACACAGGCGCACACGCACACACAGAAACCGAAACATACAAGTATGTAGATACAGATAAAAAAAAAAAAAAAAAAAAACAGTTTGAGAACTCACCTTCGCTGATCGCATTGGCAGAGTCACCGCCGCTGCCGCTGGCACTGGCAGCACCATTCTTGATGGCCTCGGCGGCCAGGGCCTTGGTCCGCTCCATGAGCAGGGCCTGGAATTTGTTGGGATCGTTGGCACAGGCGGCGGCAGCTGCGGCAGCGGCCGCGGCCGCAATGGCCGACTGGGGACTCAGAACATTCAGATCCAAAGGACTGCTGCGGGAAGGGAAAGAAACAAAAAAGAGAGCAAGGATATAAAAATACTGCTGGGACTATGGGGCGTATGGATGGATGGAATGGGCTGATGGTTACTCACTGCTGTTCCTTTTTGATTTTAGCTCGCTGCTGTCTGCGTTGGCTGTGGTTTGGTTTGACATGACCGCATGATGATCCTGATCCTCGGCATCTTCATCCTCCTCATCATCGTCCTCCTCATCGACCTGCTGGTGCTGGTGGGTGGTAGAGGCAGCCTCCTCTCCCTCGTCATTGTCCACGAGCATGGCCTGATGGTGGTCATCCTCCTCTTCCTCCTCCTCATCGTCCTCAGCCTGGACTGAGGCCTGGGTGGCATCCAGATCGTTGGATGATGCTGATGCTGCTGCCTCCAATGATGGAGAGGCGGCATTCACCTTGTTGTTGTCGCTGCTCTGGCTGTTGTTGTTGTTGTTATTGGTGGCAGCCGCATTGACAGCGGCAGCCAAGGCGGTAGCCTCGGCCAAAGCCTCATTGATCTGCTGCTTGTCGAGGCGTGCCTCCAGGCGCATGATATGCTGCCGCTTCACCTCCAGATGCTCCTCTAAGCGCTGGATCTGCACCAGATGCGTCTGTTCCAGGGCACGCAGGCGCTGCAGCTCGTCGAGAAGTGCTTTAATCTGGAGCAAAAACGAAAAAAAAAAAACAACAAAAAGAATTGCCAAAGATTAGTGTTGGGTTCAAGGGTTTGTATTTCTAAATTTTATCGAGATGGCAGACACATGTCTCCCTCTCACCCACTCCCTTTTTGGGTAAAAGTTTTGAGAGAGTTATAAAATAATTTTTAATAAAATTAACAACAACGTCAATGTCGGTTGGCGGTGATTGCCAACCGACCCCGCCCCGCCAGCCACGTAAAAACCACCCAACAAACGCCGCCAGGTACAGTCCACCCCACACCCGCTCTTGCATCCTTTTTGTTCTGCAGGAGGAACTTTGTTTGTTTGATGAAAATATGATAATTGGCAAATTTGACAAGGGAATTTTTCTTAAGTGCGTCGAGCGACAACATACGATGGATGTGTGTGTATGTGTGTGCGTGTGTACCCATCCCCTTTCCGCACCACCCCCTGCGTCGTCTTGTTCGGCAAAAGTTGACAAGATAAAGTTTTTCGGCAGCAGCAACAGCAGCAGCAGCAGCCGTGTGGCATGCAACGAAATTTTTTAATGACAGCCAGGTGGGCGTGGCAACGTGTATGCTGTGTATGCTGTGTGTGTGTGTGTATTTCTTATTATGTGATTAAAATTAATTTTATGGCGCGGTTTTTAATTGAAGCATATGCCAGTGGGAAGGGAAAAACAACTTTTGCGCGCAACTGTACCGCCATCGGGCATCGAATATCGAGCCTTTAACGAGGAAGCAGGGTTGGGGGTGTTCTCCCGTTCCATATGTTAATCAAATAAGTTGACTGACGGGATGCCCCCTCCCCCCATCAACATAATTCTAACAACAAATTTGCGTGTCACTGCGTGATTTGTGTCGAACAGAGGCATAAAACAATAATTTCATCAACATGGGAACACATAGCACACACGGTGGCTATGTCCCCCGCACCTATCAAAGGGAGGTGGAGGATTCGTGTCTATTTTATCAATAATTGTGGATTGGTAACCACTGTGAGCTGGGCTGGGCCGGGGGGGCTTAGGGACTGAACACTGATGATTATTGGCCATAAACAATGGCCTGTTTTTTTTTTTTTGGTAGAGGCAATAATACATAATTGGCATTAAAAAAGCATCATGCATGCATGGATGCATGCGTGTGTGTGAGTGTGTTCCATGCCACATGTTCCCTCATGCCATGGATATGGATGGCATGCCGAAAAATGCAAAACAGCCGCCAGGCCCCGTTAATTCTATTATCAATCAAAGGACACACACACACACACACACACACGGACACATATGAACACGTGAAAGGGTTCGGAGTCGAGTATGTGGCAGGGCAGGCAATGAGCTGCCCTCCCCCCCCCCCCATGCCACATGCGTGTTCGATTTTTCATTAGCATACGGGACAAAGACGCGACAGCAACCCCAAAGGCTGCCCCCTGCCATTGGGTCTGAAGACATGACAAGACGACAAACGACTCAAATTAATTGCATAAAAATCTTTTGGGTGCGGTGAGCTCTCGTTGACGGGTGCTGGGCGGCTCGAAGGGGGTGGCTTCTAATTGCCAACTGCTCGACAGACACAACCGCCATGCCATGCTCAGAAAAAACAAAAAAAGAAGAAAAGTAAACGGAATTTTTGCAGCTTTTCTTAAATAAACGTAATTAGCGGCAGTTCCTGGCTCTTCATCCTTTCTGTTCTACCCGGCAATACTATAAACTGTGTTTGTGTGTGTGTGTATGTAGTCACATGTGTTGGCAACTGTACCCGCATGGGATCACAAATCATATGGGAAAATCATCTGGAAAGGCGCGGGAAAGGGTTCTGACTGGGCACGGCTGCTGCCATCTCGTGAAAATTGTCATTTCGATTTGTTGTATTTAGACACACAGAGTTCTCGCTCTCTCCCTCTCTCTTATTGGGCGCCAAAGAAATATTAAAACGATAAATCAACTTTTTGGATTTTCAACATGGATTCTCTACTGCCCCCTGTCCCACCAATTCACAGAAAGCAGAAATCATTTTCAACCCTTGAAAAGCAGAAAGTTTTTGCAACTCTCTGTGGTTGATGAGGCTGCCTGTGGGATGGTCCCAGTCCTGGATGCTGGATGGGCACAGGGATCGGAATGGGTAGTGGTGTGGAGTGGAGTGGCGTAGAGTGGAGCCAGCAATCAAACAAACTATAACAAATACTCGTGAGGGGTAAACTAGAGATGGGTGGTGGAGGGGGTTGGTTTTCCCTTCCGTATTGACTGTAAAATTATGAAAATTTACATTTTTCATGGCCCCCTGCCACCGACCCATGAGCAATGGGCTCGGACAAAGGCTGGACAGGCAGCAGAGCCAGAGCAGAGCCAGAGGTGGATCATATAAAGGTAGGGGTGGGGGTGGGTGGATGTCATATGTGAGGTCTCTCTGACTTAGTTTATCGGGCTAAAAAATTGATGGAGAGAGAGAGAGGGAGAGAGAGAGAGTAAGTGAACATTAGCATCGAGCGAAAAGCAAACGATTTGTAATTAACAAAATTGCCAAGCACCCAAAACCCACCCAACCCTTTGGCTTTACCCTTTGCATAACAATTGACAAAGCAGTCAATACACAGATACACACACACACATGGCAGGCAGAACAATAACAAACACTCGAAGGCAAAAGACGAGAAACGTCGCACAATTGGCAACAGCAGCAGCAGCAGCAGTGGCAGTGGCAGTGGGAAGAAGCAGCAGCAGCAGCAGGTGGAGGCAAGCAGGAGATGAAGGAAGCATAAAATGCCAAAAGGAATTAAGGTTATGCGTCTGTCTCTCTCCCTTTGCGTGTGTGTGTGTGTGCCACATGAGGCAAAGGGTTTTCCACACAACACAGCGCTTCAAGGATTGGGGTCTCTCTCTAAAAAAAGGGTTTAATCAGCGAACAGCAGAAGTAGCAGCAGCAGCACCATTACACACACACACACACACACACACAAATGAGATACACAGATACACCAATCTACAAATACAAATTAACAATAAGCAATCAAAGACACACACACACAAAGACACAGCCAGAGGGATAGAGAGAGAGAGAGAGAGAGAGAGAGCATCTCTCGCCTCAGAAGGGGGTGTCCTTTTTTCTTTTTTTTTTTCTACCAAACAGCAAAAGCATCATCAGACTTTTAGGCCGTCAGCTGCCAGGCAGTCAGGCAGGCAGGCAGCCAGCAAAAACCGTCAAAGGAATTAAAATTCATTCGGGCATAAAAATTTTAAAATATATATATTGTAGATATACGAGTGGGAGTGGATGTATGCGGCGGAGTGGGAGAGTGGAAGTTGAAGAGTGGGTGATGGATAGAGATAGCGCATATAAAAAGGGGTAACTTTTGCCAGCAGAAGAAACAGCGGCAGTAACAGCAGCAGCAGCAGGTGGGGTGACCGGAGGGGGTTGTGTTGTTAATTTCCAAAAAGCCAAAAGACAAATGAGTAAAAAGCAACAACACAGCGCAGAAGGCGGGGGCGGTGGGAAGCAGAGCCAGAGCATCATCGATTGTCTCAATGTCGTCAAATGTTTTTCTTATTTTTTTTTTGTGGCATACAAATACCCTTTTCTGAGGTTTGCTGAATTTGAGAAGCGAAAGGAACTAAAGGAACTGCTTCTAAGCCTTGCATAATCTGTCAATCGGTCTACGCTGCTTTAAACAAACAAAATTGATCCTCGAGGGTATCCAAAGTTTCGATCATGCTCACAATGCTGGCCACATATCGCTTCCATATTTGGAATTTTAGGTTTTTTTCTTTCTTTTTTTTGTTGTCATTGATTTTTGATTGTTTCAAGTCGCTGTTCTGCCAAGGAGCAGGAATGGTGCGGTGGAGGATGGAAGCTTTAAAGTCTGCCAAGTGCACCCCAGAGAGCTTTGACGCCGGGGCTTTTGTGTCGCCTGTCGCTGCTGTTGCTGCTGCTGCTGCCGTGGCTCTTGCATTTCTTTTGCATCTGGCAATGCCCAAGTTGGCAATTTGCAACAAGCGATAACAAAGAGCACAAACGAAAGGAAAGCAAAAACAAAAGACCCCCGAAAGAGGTCACATCTGGGGTGGGGGAAGGGTGTGTCCTGTCAGAGCGAAAAATGATTCATTTGCAGTGATCTTCAAGTGGCATGGATCGCCCTGAGTGCACTCGTGTGAGTGTGATCTACGAGTGCAGGCAACTTTTACTCCATACACTCACCAATTCAATCACCGATTCATTTATTCACTTAGCCATTCATTCATTTATTCATTCGCCCCCCGAACAGTCAGACAGAGACAGACAGACAATTCATCAGCTTAAAGACCTTAAATCGCAGGTAATTTCCCCCGGAATTTTCGCATTATTTGTCAATTGCCTCAGGGTGGGCGGAAAAAAGTAGTGGGGTTCTGTAGGGGGCACGTTGGATGGATGGGGCGGCGGTGGTGGTGGCAATGCCAATTTACAACAATTCAAAGGCATAAATCAAACATTTTGCAAGTTGAAGTTGGCACGGAAAGGCGCCCCTCCAAAACCACCAAAAAAAAGGGGTGGAAGGGGGTCAGTCAAGTTTTCCGTTCGTTGCCGATTGCTTCGTTTGTCAGTCAGTCAAACAGTCATTCATTTAGTCAGTCAGTCAGTCAGTCAGTCATTCAGTTATTTACGCACACACGCACAGGGAACGACGGTAGAGTTATTGAATTGATTCGGATGTCTGTTTTTCGTGGTGGTGCCCCCTGGGGGGCACGCAATTCGCGAATTTGTTTGACTCCGTTGTGTCTTTGTGCGTCTCCACTCTCTCTCGCACTCTCTCTCTCTCTCTCTCTCGCACTCAATTGTTGGTCCGCCCTCTTTCGCCTCCTTTGCCGCTTGATGTTGTTGTATTTTTTGGATTATAAAGTTTTGTAATTAAAATTTGACAGCTTTACAATTCCCAGGACCATCCCCCCTCTACAACTTCCAGCGAACCACCAACTCATCTTCCCCGCCACCCCCTTCGTGTGATTGCGTCCCGCGCACATTTTCTTATTA